ACTGTTGTCAAAGGTTAGGTTTTGGTCAAATCTCAGGTAAAAGAACAAATAAAGACCTCGTTGATGCCTCCAGGACATGCGTTTGTCTCTGACGACCAAAATTTTTTTAAAACTAAAAAGACTGGATAGGGGATTATTTCTTGAGCGTCCAGCTTATATTTGGCTTGGTAAACGACTTTAATAATTAATAGTATCTTAAAATCGAAAGCAATTTCCAACAGATCAAGTAAATATTGAGAGCAAATGTTCAGCATTATTGATAGGGCTCGAGTGGGAAATTGCCACGACACCAATAGGCTGTCTCATTGCTGCCAAAACTGTGGGTAAGAACATAAGTAGACTCAAACCTTGTGTGGCGATGAACTTGCAGTGATGATTGTAACCCTAACAATAAAATAAATAGTAGTTCGTAAGTAGTTATAACGGCTAGCCCACTGAGATCTGAGTTCACCTCTTCGTTACTTAATTCTTGCAACTGTGCGCAATAATATATAGCACTACCATAGACAATTTTCTTGGCAATCCAGAGCTTCGGTAGCTGGCAATTAATTCTTTAATTCTCATGGCCTGGAGTTTTGGTTCGGCAATGTTTTCGAGGGGAGAAAAAATTAGATGCTGGTCATTATAAAGGGTTAAAAGGCCAAACATATCGTCATTATTGTTGCTGTTGTTGTTGATGTTGTTGTTGTGGTTTTTGTTGTTGTACTCACATCAATGAAGTTAGCATTGATGTAGTCACTTCCAGGACAACCATCCAATTCCACTAATTGCACCCTCGTGTGGTCATCTGCAAATAGGTCAAAGTAAAGCAATATAATTTCAACATTTCACCCCATCAGAAATTGTTTTTACAAAGCCAGGGGTTCCAATAAAAGCCGGTCAGCGGATTTCTACCGCAGCCTACAAGCCTTCTCATAACATAGCTGTACAAAAGCGTGCGTTCTGTTTGGCTAATACGTTCGATCAATTTGCCCGTGGGTTGCATGCTGACGTCGGTTTTTTTTTTTTTCCCGCTTTTTTTTTCTACACGAAACGAAAGATGCTTGAAAGTCTCAGTGCTATAGAAGAAATGGTCAGAAGGAAGGGGGAGGGGTAGGGGGAAGGGCAAGGGCAAAGGAAAAAGGAAAGCGGACTGACCTGAGAATCAATCACTTGTTGAGCGTCACGCAAAAGAGCTTTCGTCTTCTTCAGTTCTCGTCTCAGTTTTCTCCCTGTTTCCGCATCGCCTTGTTCGTAGCGATCTCGGAGTTCTTCAAGGCGCCTATCAGCTTCTCGTTTGGCCTGAAAAGAAATCAGAGGGTTTATGAAGTTTGACACGTTAGCTTCACAACTACCTCCAAGTGGAGGATTACCTAAAGGCAGAAGTCAGAGGGCCAGATTTAGCTAGAAGAGCTACAATTCTTAGTAGGCGAACCTTGTAATAACGGTTATTCTGGTAGCCAATAGCGAGAGCGGCTTACCTTAACAGCGGCCGTTTTTTCTTGATGTTCATCTTCTAGTTGATCCTCGAGTTGCTTGACCTGTGAGTATTGAAAGACAGATTTTTTTACACCCTAACATCAGAATGCATATTCTCCAAACTGTTCTCCATACATGTCCTGAGGTGCTGACAAAGAGAATTTGTTTAACAATCACAAGCTTCTTTTATGAGTGATCATTTCCTTTAATCTCCTAACTGTAACGTTTGATTCAGGAGAAATATTGTATGGAGAAATTAGATGTTGGTCACTCGTGAGCAAGGCTGTGGTCTAAGAAATATTGAAAAGAGCCCAGTGCTCTGAAGCTGTGAAATCCAGGGTGCTCAGCATATGCTTTTTATGAAAAAACTAAGATTCCTGAGTCGCCCAAGAACAAAAGTAAGGCGCCAAGGGGCCACCGGGCGCAGCTAGACCACAGCCCTGTTGAGGGTCAAAGGGTTACGATAAGGAACGGAAAACAAGCTTAGACATTGTTTCGTCAGAGTGTTTCAAAAGAACACAGAGCAACAATGCAAACCGCTACGGAATGCCATTGGATTGGGTAGTCATTGAGTCGAGCAGTCATTTACTGTATAATGTTATTTCAAATAGAACTTTACTTTTTTCTGCATGTTAAATCTAAGCTGTTCCATTTCTTCATCTTTTGCTTCTAAATCCTTGTGTACCATATGCTTGTCATGTTCTGCAGCCATCTCCAAACGAAGTTTAGCCTATCAGAATAATAACAAGAGAAAGTTAAGTTCTTACCTTAATTTTTCCACATTATTTTTTCATGTTGAAGCAGTGCTGCGAAATATTTATCGAGAAACCACGAGGAAAAAAGGAAAGAGGAAATGGAAAAAAAAAATGCATGCCGAAATTAAACTTTTTTTCTGACAGTTTTTTTCTCGCTAGAATTCACCAAAGACGTCTTTCAGGTTTACTACCGCTTCCATCACAGCCTCTATTAACTTTAGCAGGCCTCACAATCTCCAATCGTTTTCCGCCTAAGGTTCCCTGTGTCCTCAAATTTCCCACTTCAGATTATTCTATTCCCTTCCAGAATGAAGGGTAATATGCCCTTGTAACTTCATTTTTCTTGAAACATGTACGCTATATTAAAACGCTGACTAGAAGAGCGTGCCACCTACACCTGTTCAAGCATCTGAGTAAGTTTTAAAAGCTGACTAAGCGGGTATGCTACTGATACCTGTTCAAGCATTTGGATCTTTCCAGCCTGATCGTCAAGTTCCTCTTCTTGATCCTGAACTTTCTCCTCCAGTTCTCTGATGGTTTTCTTCAATGCGACAGCCTGGAAACAACCCGACGAAGTCAGAGAGCGTGTAAGCTGTGGCTGCGCCACTAAGCGGTCGTGAAATTAGAAATGAAGCTGAGTAAAACCGGAATAGGACAAACTAAACGATCGAAAGTTTTAACTGAACGAAACACTAAGAGTGACTTTGCATGTTTAAGTCGTTTAGTCCGCTTTTCAAATGCAAAATTTACGTCGAGATCTCCGTGACAAGAAAGAAGCAAATCTGTATTTCCTAACTTAAACTCACTCTAAATTACAGTTTTAGGAACACTTTACTATAATGAAACATCATGAAAAAAATTAATTAAATTTCATTGACCCAGATCGGGTTATGATAAATAACGCACTTCTTAAATTCAGACTTGAGCCGACTTAAAACAAATCGCCGTGGAGAGTGGAACGCAGAAAACAGCCAAAATCAAGATAGATCGAGATACTTAACCCATTCGTAAGTAAACCCTTTACACTCTAACATCGGCATGCACGTCATTCACAGTGTTCTCTAGAAATTTCCTTGGGCGCTGACAAGGAGAGTTTGTCTATAATCAACAGCTTGTTTAGTTGGTGATCACTCCTTGTTTGTGGGACATTGTAAGGAGAACTAAATTAGGTGATGGTCACTCTGAACAGTGCACATGTAGCTAGAAAGCTAAACATCTCGTAAAAATTAGACGTCATGACAAGCCGAAATTTAGTATACAACTCACGTCTCCTCCCTTTTGTTTTGTGATATCATCCATATCGCCCTCAATCTGCGTCAGCTCTTTTTTAGCCTTCTCCAGTTCTTCGCGAAGTTCCTGTAACATCAGTTAAGAAAAGATAATTATCTTTGGTCATTGCACCTCTCAATAACAACGTGCGCTGCAATTGGTCCAATTTAGCGGACCCTACTTTACTGGACAGCTCGCTGAAGTTTAAAGCTGGCATAATTGCCATCTCTTGTTCTGCATTCTCGATAGTTCTTAGCCTCAGCGGGAATAAGAAAGTTTAAAACTTTCGATATCTTTAAATTCTGGGTTTAAACGCGCTATCGACTGAGAAACGGTCACTCGAAGCAGTTCCGCATGGCTACAAATTGTTTCCCACACAATCAGACACGCGGTAGAACCACCCCCAACTAACGGAAAAGAAACTAAGAATGAAGTTGGGTAGACAGCCGCGAACGTACTGGTTCTTGTCAAAATGCCTTCACTAGAAGCAAAGGAAATTTGTCTCTATGGAGAGAAAGACAACCCACAAGTGAACATACCACCAATTCATGTTCTAATTGGAATTTTTCTGTAGCGGCCTTATCCTTTTCTCGACTGATTTTCTCTTTTAACGTTCTTTCGTGGTTCAGCTCTTCTTTAAAACGCTGACTCTCCGTGTCGAACCTGAAAAATTAACAATTAAAGTATTAGAAAAAGGTGTGTTTTGCTTTCCACAAGACATGCAAACTGGTTGCTTGACGCCATGCTATATAGACGTCTCTGTGGTTAAGTCATAACTCAATTTAAACACCAAGTGTGGGTTATACAAATTCTCTGTGTTCGCTGATCATTGGAGTTTTGCCCAATCGCAAGTTTGCCGCCCCCCCCCCTCCCCCCAACCTTCTGATAAGCTGTTCACTCGAAAATCACCACAGTAGAAACTGACTACGCGGGATAAGATGCACATCCCTTTGCACACTTTCTTTGTTTGTTTGCCGCCCCCACCCTCCCCCCACCTTCTGATAAGCTGTTCACTCGGAAATCACCACAGTAGAAACTGACTACGCGGGATAAGATGCACATCCCTTTGCACACTTTCTTTGTTTGTTTGCCGCCCCC